GCTAGTTATTGCTAGGTGTAGCTGCCTGTAGCCACAGATATGAGAGAAATGTCAATCTTATATAACTCTCAACAAGAAAGCAATTAAGAGTTTTCCGCAAAATATTAAACCTGTTCTAAAGAATCCTGTTTTATAAGATGTTCCAAGACACAAAGTATTTATTTGCGTGATGTTTCAGGCTGTAACCTGCAAGCATTTAGCCGTAAAGAGAATTAGAACATTGATTCTGACCCTGACTCCAACATCCAACTTTCTTTCTCTGTCCAACCTCCTCCACATTTTCACTTCCACTCTCCTCTCCATTGTGTGTATGTATGTATGTATGTGTGTGTGTGTGTGTGTGTGTGTGTGTGTGTGTGTGTGTGTGTGTGTGTGTGTGTGTGTGTGTGTGTGTGTGCGTGTGTGTGGGCAGTGTTCAGTGTGCACTGCTTGCTTGCTGCTCTCTTCCTCCTCCACATATTCAGTGAGTTATGTAAGAATACTGAAGAGTTGCCCATATGGTGTGAGAGCGTATTTATAAATCCATCCCTGTTAATTCTGCTCACTTTCCTCCAGCCATGTTAATACTAATACGTAATATATAAACGCTTAATTTTAAAGTCTACCTGTCCTTTATTACTATATGTGTCTTTCTTCTAGTATTATGGTTTGAGGCACAATTCAGTATATGTCCAAGGGAGAAAACGATGAATTCCTCACGTATTATTACACTTTTTTCCTAATCAATTGTACTTTTTCTGAATTCTAAGAGAGATAAAAGTATATTATTTTTAGTTGCTTTAAAACACAAGGACAACTGTAATATTTGGAATAAAAGAAAGAACAGCAGGAGCATATTTAAAAGATGATAGTTTTAGTGTTTGCATAATATTTTAGAATTTTTTTTTGGTCTGAAATGGAATATTTTCTGACATGACTTGTTAGACGCTTTTATCCAAAGCGACTTACATACTCAATACTGTGGGCAATCCCCACAGGAGCGAAGTGTCTCAGGGTCACAACGACATGCTGACTGCAGTGGGACTCGAACTTGCTATCCTCTGATTTGAAGATCAGCGCACTATCCCACTGTGCCACACACCTCCCAAATGATTTTTTTTTTTGGAGTAATCTGAATTATTTTAATTTTTTAATTATTTATTTTTGTTTCCTGACAGTTGTTCCATTTCAGAATAAAAAAAAAAAACAATAAATAAAATGAAATAGAAAAACCTGAAAATATAATACATTAAAGTTAAATTGTGCAACAAATCTAAAAATGACATGTTTATAAGGTAAAAATATGCACATTGTTCTACAATATATAACATCAATAAATATGTATATTATAATATATACAGTGGTGTACTAGTATCAGTAAAGATATAATGTTAAAAAAGTAATTATTGCTCGAAGTTTACAGTGTAATAAGATAAGATGAGATAAGATGGTACTTTATTGATCCCAATTTGGGAAATGTTTGTGTTGCAGCAGCATAAAAGACAAGGCATTTTACAATAAAACAAAACTAGAAATAAACAAGAAAGTAGAAAATATACATGTTGATTTGACAAGATATTATATATACAAATATATATATACATAAATATATGACATATGGAATATTAATATTCAACATTGAACAGATTATGTGTAAAATGTACAGCCAGGTTTTATTCCAAGAGAAGCTATGGAGCAGAGAGTTCTCTTCCAGCCAGAGGTGATTTATTGTACAGAGTTAATGCAGTGGGCAGGAATGTGTTCCTGTATCGGTCCTTGTGACAGCGGAGCGGTCTGTTGGAGAAGGGGGGGGGGGGGTTATCTGTCTGTCCAGCTGCAGGTGGAGAGGGGGGGGGGGGTGGGTTATATGTCTGTCCCGCTGCAGGTGGAGAGGATGGGGGGGTTATCTGTCTGTCCAGCTGCAGGTGGAGAGGGGGGGGTGGGGTTATCTGTCTGTCCAGCTGCAGGTGGAGAGGGGGGGGGGGGTTATCTGTCTGTCCAGCTGCAGGTGGAGAGGGGGGGTGGGGTTATCTGTCTGTCCAGCTGCAGGTGGAGAGGGGGGGGGGGGGGTTATCTGTCTGTCCAGCTGCAGGTGGAGAGGGGGGGGGGGGGTTATCTGTCTGTCCAGCTGCAGGTGGAGAGGGGGGGGTGGGGTTATCTGTCTGTCCAGCTGCAGGTGGAGAGGGGGGGGGGGGTTATCTGTCTGTCCAGCTGCAGGTGGAGAGGGGGGGTGGGGTTATCTGTCTGTCCAGCTGCAGGTGGAGAGGGGGGGTGGGGTTATCTGTCTGTCCAGCTGCAGGTGGAGAGGGGGGGTGGGGGTTATCTGTCTGTCCCAGCTGCAGGTGGAGAGGGGGGGGTGGGGTTATCTGTCTGTCCAGGTGCAGGTGGGGTGGGGTTATCTGTCTGTCGAGCTGGCAGGTGGAGAGGGGGGGGTGGGGTTATCTGTCTGTCCAGCTGCAGGTGGAGAGGGGGGGTGGGGTTATCTGTCTGTCCAGCTGCAGGTGGAGAGGGGGGTGGGGTTATCTGTCTGTCCAGCTGCAGGTGGAGAGGGGGGGGGGGGGGGGTTATCTGTCTGTCCAGCTGCAGGGTGGAGAGGGGGGGGTGGGGTTTCTGTCTGTCCAGCTGCAGGTTGAGAGGGGGAGGGGGGGTTATCTGTCTTCCAGCTGCAGGTGGAGAGGGGGGGTGGGTTATCTGTCTGTCCAGCTGCAGGTGGAGAGGGGGGGTGGGGTTATCTGTCTGTCCAGGCTGCAGGTGGAGAGGGGGGGGGGGGGTTATCTGTCTGTTCCAGCTGCAGGTGGAGAGGGGGGGGTGGGGTTATCTGTCTGTCCAGCTGCAGGTGGAGAGGGGGGGTGGGGTTATCTGTCTGTCCAGCTGCAGGTGGAGAGGGGGGGTGGGGTTATCTGTCTGTCCAGCTGCAGGTGGAGAGGGGGGGGGGTTATCTGTCTGTCCAGCTGCAGGTGGAGAGGGGGGGGGGGGGGGGGTTATCTGTCTGTCCAGCTGCAGGTGGAGAGGGGGGGGGGGGGGGGGGGGTTATCTGTCTGTCCAGCTGCAGGTGGAGAGGGGGGGTGGGGTTATATGTCTGTCCAGCTGCAGGTGGGAGATGGGGGGGGTGGTTATCTGTCTGTCCAGCTGCAGGTGGAGAGGGGGGGGTGGGGTTATCTGTCTGTCCAGCTGCAGGTGGAGGAGGGGGGGGGGTGGGGTTATCTGTCTGTCCAGCTGCAGGGTGGAGAGGGGGGGGTGGGGTTATCTGTGCTGTCCAGCTGCAGGTGGAGAGGGGGCGGTGGGGTTATCTGTCTGTCCAGCTGCAGGTGAGAGAGGGGGGGGTGGGTTATCTGTCTGTCCAGCTGCAGTTGGAGAGGGGGGGGGGGGTGGGGGTTATCTGTCTGTCCAGCTGCAGGGGAGAGGGGGGGGGGGGTTATTGTCTGTCTAGCTGCAGGTGGAGAGGGGGGGGTGGGGTTATCTGTCTGTCCAGCTGCAGGTGGAGAGGGGGGGGGAGTTATCTGTCTGTCCAGCTGCAGGTGGAGAGGGGGGTGGGGTTATCTGTCTGTCCAGCTACAGGTGGAGAGGATGGGGGGGGGTTATCTGTCTGTCCAGCTGCAGGTGGAGAGGGGGGGGGGGGTGGGGTTATCTGTCTGTCCAGCTGCAGGTGGAGAGGATGGGGGGGGGTTATCTGTCTGTCCAGCTGCAGGTGGAGAGGGGGGGGGGGTGGGGTTATCTGTCTGTCCAGCTACAGGTGGAGAGGATGGGGGGGGGTTATCTGTCTGTCCAGCTGCAGGTGGAGAGGGGGGGGGGTGGGGTTATCTGTCTGTCCAGCTGCAGGTGGAGAGGATAGGTGGGGTTATCCATGATGGACAACAGCCTGTTCAGTGTCCTCCTCTCCACCACAGCTTCAAAGGTCCAGCTTGATGCCGATGACAGACCCAGCTTTCCTGATCAGTTTATTGATCCTGCTGGTGTCACCGGCTCTGATGCTGCCCCCCCCAGCAGACCGCAGCAAAGACTAGAAGATCTCCTGCACACGTGGAAGGATCTCAGCTTCCTCAGAAAATAAAGTAATAGTGACAGTAAGTTTAAGTAACAATACGTTTAAGTAACTTTAAATCTTGTTTTTTATTTATTTTGGGTTGTCTGTATAGATGTGTGTTTTCAATTGAGCTTTTAATCAGCTATACGTCTTATATGAGTCTTTCTGTCTTATTTATTTATTTGATTGTTGTGCTAACTTGTCTTTTGTCTTTTTTATTGCACAGTTGAGTAAGTCATCCTTACTGCATGTTGTTGGCATAATAAACAAGATCATTTAATAGCTCTTTTGTGCAGGGAATATAGGCTAACACGACACATGAAACCAGGTTTATTCTCTAAACTGGAGCAGAGATGTTTGGTGACGCATTTAGAAAAACACACTGCCCTCAAGTGGCTTGTCACTAAACATGCACAATCCCAAGAGAGTTCAGACTTGTTGTTAAATTGAGTTCCTGCGCGAATAAGCAATGATACATTAAAAACATTTGTATTTTAGTACATATTTTAATAAAACAAGTGGCTGAAATATGCATATTTTTCCGTGTATTTTTATAAAATGTTGTATGTAAGAAGATATAGTAGACAGTATGAAAATATAATGTAATATAATAAAAGAGAATACAAGCAAATACAACAACAACAAAAACAAAACACAGCTTTTTAATCGGTTAGGTGTTGTTTTCACTTTTAAAACATTATAAGGTTGAGTTCAAAATAATCGGAAATTTGGGAAACAAGCAAACCTCCGAAAAAACGTGGATTTTGTTTGTAATTAAAAAATAACATTTAGTAATTGTGAAAAACCATAAATATAGAAGATATGGAAATAATAGTGTCTGAATTACTAAAACCTCACTGAAATCCGTACTGTCGACTTATTTCTCCGTAAACAAATACAAAAGGTGTTATTTTCGTGTTCATACAGGCTCACATGAATGCGTCTTAAAATCGACGTTTCCATTTCCTGTCCTGTGGTTGGCCAAGACCAACGTCACTCGGAACTGAACGTCACTTGAAGCAGGCGGAGTGAGAGAAGCAGGTTGCGAAGAACAGGAGGATTTTATCAATTTAAATATAAGTGGTTGCATACTGTAACCGGACCTAACACGCAAGCTGGTGAGTAGTAATGTTGTTCTTGATTAATATTCCTTATTTATTCTGTATTTGCACGTAGAAAGACTTTCTTATTGATGAAAAATCAATTCGCGCTTTCAAGAGCTTTGCTATGGAAAGCTTATTCCTCTCGAGCTATCGCGAGACTTTGATCTTCTAGTTTACCATATCTCATGTTGTTAAAGCTAAATATGTAATATAAGGTGGTGTTAATCTCAACCTTTAACTGCTTATTTAGTTAAATAGCATTATGACGTATATCACAGCTCACTATTTAGCTTCTTAACACATTATTTATCGATTAAAAGGGGCAACGTGAACTGCGAGATCCTCTGTTGTGCTGTTAGCTTAGCAGCATGCTAATGTCGTGACTGTTGATAGTTTATCAACACTTTGTACCTGCCGTTAAAATCACGATTTTAGACCCTCAAACGTCACTGACTTGCTTAAACAAAATGTGCAATGATTAAATAATAACATAATAGTAATAATTAATGCAATAACTTTATATAGTAATGAACATTCGCACTGTTTTCTAGGTCGCACATGGTTACATTTGAGCCTTTTGTTTGCTCTGTTGTTATTGTTTCAGAAACCCTCTCAAGCAATATTAATAATACATCTCTATTTGTGCATCACTTGTAATGCACAGAGGATGCAGATCGAAGTGCTTTGACCTTTTGATAAACAGGGAATACGATAACAATCAGAGACTAAAAGGCATTAGCACAAATGCACCATGTGTTCCACACACACACACACACACACTAAATTAAATTGATTTCTAAGCAAATGTATTATTTAAAAGTCACCTATCATGCTATTTTTAGGCAATAGCATAGGTCTCAGATATATAAAATATATAAAAAACATGTCTATATCGAGATTTCTGGATGTATAACACATGTAGTAATTTTGACAATAAAGCTGACTTTGACTTTTGACTTTGTCTATGAAGAGTTTTGCTAAAAAAACAAAACGGATCACCCATTCTAGCCATGCCTCATATCCCTCTATTTCACTTCCTGTTTCTAAAGTGCTGATTTGGGTATAAAGCTTTTAAAAGATAAAAGAGGAGGGGTCTGAGCTCATGTGGGACCCGGCAGCTACTGTCTAAACTAAATGCTGCCGTGATGAAACGCCATATCATGGATTATCAAGGATTCTCTCTGAAACAGTTTGGAGCTCAAAGGCTTTCTCTCTTGCCGGTTATACCACAAGGTGAGTTCCTTTTTACTTCCTGCTTCTTCACACACATGCTCTCCAGTACAGGTTAGCTCTGAGTGTTAGCGATGCTAATGTAAACACCGACCATATTACGTCCAAAACAGTCGGGCATTGTTTCTGATAGCAACTTTCTGATTGGCCCGTGGGTCCACATTTCAGATATTATGTCATATCGGACGCAAATCTGGATCAGCTCCGTTGTTCCCCGTTTTTAGAGATTTGGGTACGGAGGAAAAGAGAGAGGGTTTTATTTCCTGACGCTGCGTGAGTTCCCCGACACACCGGGGACACATGTTGATGTATAACAGACATCAACAAGTGCATTTTGCATGATGGGAGACCTTTAATGGTGTTTCGTGACAGTTGTTCCATTTCAGAAATAAAAAGAAAAAAGCAATAAATCAAATGATGCAATCATGATTCTGTGGAACACATGGAAATGCAACTCCTAACGTGTGACACCAGACACTGCTGTGTTTCTTTCTAAAAGGAGAAGTGCTGAATGTGTCCCGAGGCACTGGGATTTATTTCCATTCAAACTGAATTATGCTGCAGTTTTTAACTTCAACACGACCTAGACGTGTGGTGCTTCTGCAGACTTTCTATGGCTACCCATCAGCCTGAATGCACATTTAAATTAAACTGGTATTTGCTTTCCACCTCCACACACTGCACCGACTGGCCAATAAAGAGTTTCAAGTTTCAAGGCTTTATTGTCATTTACAAATTAGCTACAGACAGTATAGTTATGGCAATGAAATGTTTAAGTCCCAGGCTCCTCCAACAGAGCAACATGTGTATATCAGGGTTTCCCACACATAGACTATACTTGGGCGGGCCGCCCAGGTATATTAACGGCCGCCCAGGTATATTTCGCGACCCATTTAGTTTTTTTTTTCTAAGTTTTTTAAAATATATATTTTTTTTATTCGTCCACGCCATCTGCGATCGATTAACTTGTAGACAATGATCCCTCGCTCCCTTGCTCTGATCTCGCCTCCTCTGGCCTGTTAAGTGGCCTGCCTCACACAGGGTGACTGGCTGTCCACATGATGTGGCCTGCCGACATGGCCACTGTCATACAGATCATAAATCAAAGCCCTTGATTGGTCTCTGTGTGTCATTCAAGCTCGGGATAACCTCAGCTCAGGTGAGGTAAAGGACTCTGAGTGTTTAGATAGTTAACTTAGTTTAAGTTCTCAGTGGGTCTCAAACGGTGTGGTCACCATTTATGTAAACACATATTTCCATTTGAGAGGGTAGTGATTGGTCTAATGGATAGTGAGGTGGGCTGAAGATCGGAAGGCTGTGAGTTCAAATCCCGCCAGGAACACCACCACTAGTGTGCCCTTGAGTAAGGCACTTAGCCCTTAGTTACTCCAGGGAGAATGTCCCTGTAATCGGTCATTATAAGTCGCTTTGGATAAAAGCGTCAGCTAAATGAAATGTAATGTGATTAGTAAAATATGCATGAATAAATAAATAAAAAGTTAACTAGGTGAAAAAAAGGTAAGATACACTTTTAAAACTTGTTGAGAGAAAACTAGTCTTTGCTGCTGCCTCAAAGAGGAGCGGAGGGAGAGGGAGGAGAGGAGGGAGAGGAGGGGGGAGAGGAGGGAGAGGAGGGAGACAGGAGAGGCTGGTTCAGGAGCACAGACACACTCACAACTATAAATGAACCAAAACTAAATTAATAAACAAGTTTCAGTGTTTTTTTCATATTGGAAAAGGTATGTTGTTGGTTATGGCCATGATTTTATGATTATTGAAATGTATACAGTTCTGTTAAATATAGGTGTTTCCATAGATCTAGTCTCTTTATGTTCCCCTCAAAATGCACCAGATTGATGCATTTAACTCCAAAATAAAAAATAAAATCTTACCGGGGGGGCATGCCCCTGGACCCCCCTAGAGGATTTGAGGTCGACCCCCACTAAAAATCACATGGATAGGTTCCTAAATACATTAATAAATACATTTATTTTTCAAAATAGTAACTCATTTCCATATGTTCATGTGTGGGTAGTAGATTTAAACTATAGGGCTATCATTATGGACCCTGCCTGTACCTGATGTAATGTTAATGTTGTTGCACGTCACCTCAACCCCCCCCCGCTACCACCACCCCCCAAAGTATATTTCAGATCTGTGGGAAACACTGGCAGTTAATGGACCAGCACCAGAGGCGTTCCCATACACACAGGCGTTGGAGCTGTTCTTCATGAAATCCCAGAAGGATGAAGTGCTCTGACAAACAGCGCCATCTTTGCGCAAAATGATTATACCGGAATGAAAAGTCAATAAATAAACATGTTGTTAAAACCTTCTTTTTTTTTTTTTTCGCGCACCCCCCCCCCCCCCCCCCCCCCCCCGCCCGCTGCCACCACCCGCCCAAGTATATTTCATATCTGTGGGAAACACTGTATATATATATATATATAGGACATAGAACAGATAAAATAGTGCAAGAGAATGTTTTGAGATGTGCAAGTAAATACAAATAGAATAGAAATAGTGCCAGTAGAGTCCGTGTAAAAGTAAACGGAATGATATATATTAGATACATCATTTAATTTAGTCTTAATTTACATTATTTAATTTCATATTCTGTTCTTGTGCATATCCCATATTCTATTTGCATGTATAGAGACTTCTTGCACTACTTTTTATTTTGTATTTTTG